TTTGAAAATGAAAAACTGTTCATTATAAAAAAATCAGATCAGATAAACATGGGATGTTATGGCTACTGCCAATCTTTTTCTTCCCTCCAAAATTCTTCAAAGTGAATGATTCCTCAAAAAACAACTTTCTCACAATTTGTGTTCTGATTAATCTGTATTTTTGGATAAAAAAATGTTGCTAGAAAAATTCCAATCAGCTCTATTGAATCATATTAACTTGGATTGCATTTACTGAAGAGACAATGTTAGGAAAATTGTTCATAGGGCACTGACTGAAGTCTTGTTTATTCAGTGAGGACCAGATAACAGTCTGAAGGGGAAACAACAGATGGGAGCCTCAGCTTGGAGTGTACATTATCAGAATGGTACGGCAACAGCATTTGGTCTAGCTACTTCTTGGAGTCACAGATCTAGGCCACTAAGAAAAGACCTTCAAAGAAAAAAAAGTTCAATGAATTAGGGAGGTTCTAGTTCTGATAAACATGCTTAAGCGACCATAAATGTATTTTTACTTAAACTCTTTGGCTACATCTACACTGGCAGCTTCTTGCGCAAGAACTGTTTTGCAGCAGAGTTCTTGTGCAAAAAGTCTTCCACAACGAGCGTCTACACTGGCATGTGCTTTTGCGCAAGACGCCACCAGTGTAGACATAGCCTTTGTGATATAGTAACCTACTGAATGTCCAGTTACATGAGGCATCCCATATAAACTAAAATTATTTCTTATGTTGGTCCCATACTGATATGTTTTCCGATCATATTCTTATCCTGCATTATTTAATTGTCTTATTACATATTGAAATCCTCATGGACTGTTTCTTCAGAACTGAATTAAACCAGTAGGGGCTTTCTGGATCTTATGCAAGCTTTTCTGTGGAATTCTTCACTCAATCTTTAGAATCCTATAATAGAAAATTATACTTCTATTTGAATTCTAAAAGGCTAGTGATCTTTTTATATTACCGTCATTATTTTTTCTATAAGGGAACTGATTAACCAGTCATATATTGCGGGTGTTACATAAACAGCAAGCCTAAAAAAGTAAGCACTTGTCAAACTGCCATCAGCTCTAGAGGAGCAAGATTAAGCTCAATATCAATTGGTAAACCTTCATGACAAGCTTTTTATTTCCCCCTCCATCTTCAATCAAGGGGAAAAAAATCAGCATTAATACACAGTAATTCCTGTAGGGTTCCCATACCACTCAGAAAAATAGAAATGTGCCCCTGAATATGTAATAGCCCCTTGAAGACATTCTTCAATAATTTCCTTCCACTGGAGTTTAGTTGCAATCAAGAGACGTGGGTTCTATTCCTTAGTCTTTGGCTAGCATCATGGGCATGTGTAGCTTACTAAAGAGAAGACTGAGAGGGGACATGATAGTGGTTTTCAAGTATCTAAAAAGGTGTTACAAGGAGGTTTCCTTGGCCTCTCTTGATAGGACAAAACGCAATGGGCTTAAATTACACCAAGAGAGTTTCAGGCTGGACATTAGGAAAAACTTCCTGTCAGGTTGATTGAAGACTGGAATATATTGCCCAGGGAGGTTGTTGAATCTCCATCACTGGAGATATTTAAAAGCAGGTTAGACAGACACCTGTCAGGGATCATAAAGACAGCGCTTAGTCCTGCCATGAGGGAAGGGGATTGGACTTCATCTCTCAAGGTCCCTTCTAGTTCTAGTATTCTGTGATTCTGGGTATGCCTACACTTGCCCCCTAATTCGAACTAGGGAGGCAAATGAAAAATACCGAAATTGCTAATGAAGCGCGGGATTTAAATATCCAGCGCTTCATTAGCATATTCGCGGCCAGGCGCCATTTTAAAATGCCGGTCGCCCGATTTCAATTACCACATGTAGACGCAGTAGTCCGATCCAAAACCCTTCCCTCGAATTAACTGTTACTCCTCGTGCAATGAGGAGTAACAATTAATTCAAGGGAAGGGTTTTGGATCAGACTACCGTGTCTACACGTGGTAAGTGAAATCGGGCAACCGGTATTTTAAAATGGCGCCCGGCCGCGAATATGCTAATCAAGCACGGGATATTTAATGTGATTTGTCCTTTTCATATGTGTTCATTTTTTTTAATTGTATCCTTTGGTATATATGGTTGTGACTATTTTCTTCCACTATTTGATCTGAGAAAGTGGGTCTGGCCCACGAAAGCTCATCACCTAATAAACCATCTTGTTAGTCTTTAAAGTGCTACATAATCCTGTATTTTGTAGAAGTTTTAGAAACTGCATGAAGATTTTTATCTATCCCTAGGTATTTACAGAGCCCCGTCACGTGTATTCTTTTAGGTTATAAGTTTAAAACACCAACTTTCTGAGCCCTACTTACTTATGAGGGGTTATTACTCCAGCTCAGAAAGATTTAACAAGGTGTAGTATTCATTTCTGGATAGCTTTCTCCAGTGTGGAGAGCATTGCACACTTCAAAGAGCAGAAAAGGAAGACTGGCACATTTAAGGACAAAAAAGAAATGTTATAATTTTTGTTTTAGACCCCCAAATCAACAAAACACTTGTGTATATTCATCCTTTATCTGCAAATGTGTGTGCTTAATTATGAGCATATGTGTAAGCCACATTGACCTGTGTGTCATTTTTGCAAATGCCGTACTGTCCGGAATTCCTATAACACTAGGACATACTTTATTGTGACTGCACCCCTTTTCATTACCCAATGAAAAATGAATGATACCACACATGAAAGAAGTAGTTGTTCTAGTTTTGACAGATTAAATCTAGGAGAGTTTCCACAAACTTTAAGCAGCTCTCTGCAAAGTATTTCCCAGCTATTGCTCGCATAGTTATGTTCATAGGGATTATTGGCACTGCAATGAAATTGTTTTGAAATCTTCTAGTGCATAGCATGTTTGGAGTTGCACTCATTTAATAGTCTCTCACTCCAAGAGGCTCATCCTTTTCTTGGCTGGGAAGACAACTTAAAATGTTGCACACCAAGAGTATATAAAATTCAAATTCATTATCTTTATTTTACTAGTGTTAATGCACGTTAATTAAAATTTCGAGCTGATAAATACTATTATTGCTAAAGAGTCCTCAGTGTTATTGCTTTTGACACACTTACAATGCATTGTGAATCCTTTCAAATACTTTCACTGGTACTTGCATTCATTCATCTGAGGCTGGATTAAGGTCATGTTGCATGTTTGATGGTTCATGGCTTTAAGAGTGAATATTGCTACATCTATTTTGCAGTAGTAATTTATTCTTTATACTTATTGCTTTCACACCTACTGCAGTAACTGAGTTTTTAGAAAATCACCTACATAATATTGTTTTCAGGCTATGAAATACTGTTATGGAAAAGAAAGCCACCAAAACATACCTGGGGAAAAATTACTTTATAGTATAATTTCAAAACCACTCAGAGCTACTCACTCTGAGATTACATTACATTGATTCTTCATATTTATCTTCATATTTATTTTACATACTTGAGTGGAAGCTGTATTGTTTTCCTTTTAACTTTGGACAAAAATCTCAGTTGATAGGCAGTTATTTTCCCCAGATTGGGGATTGCAGTTTTGTCAACTGTCCAATCAAATACTTGTAGATCCAAAAATTGTCATACATTACAGTTAAAGAGAATAAGCTATTTAAATTAACTCCTCCTGTCATTTGGATGAGGCATACATTACAGATGGCACAGCACATTCGGATAAGAGGAAAGCTATGAACCCTTGAATTCTGGCTAAATTCCAACAATTGTATTTTGCCTAAAATTTGTATTACTCTTTAAGGAGGAAAAACTGTTCCCTTGCCCTAAATAAGTGTATTGTGTTGCTAAAAGACTTGTCATGACCCATTGCTGAAAGTTCAAAAAGTAGCATTATCTGTCAAAAATCCAATTGATATTGGCTTCTTTAGAAATACACAAAAGCTGCCTGATGGTTACACTATCAGATTGGCTCCTTGCTGTTAAATAAAGGCAAAGCATATTATGTATGAGAATATTTGGCCATTCAGTTTACTATGTTAAGCCCAGTTGTTGAAACATTTTCAAGAATCAGACGATTTGTCATGGGGTGGGGGAGTCTGAACAGAACATTAGAATCAATGGTGTCCAAGTAATGTAATTCCCATAAGGGGAATTATGTAAATGGAATTCAACTCTTTTGCAGAAACAACTAACGAGAAAGGGTGCAGGCTGCAAACATCTTTTTTCTGCAGTCCTGGCTTACCAAGCATCTAGTCAAATTATACATAAAAACTGTGCACAATGTATTGATAGCTGAACCTATCCCTTAATATTTTAGCCCCTAACACACATACACATTGTAATTAACAATGATAAAGCTATCTATAAGCTAAGAAAAATAACTCACTGTATTATTACTAAGAAAAATTTGTCTCTGAAGTCCTTGCAGGCTGAGATATTAGGTATTCTCAGGACAACTCCTCAGACCCCAACACCTCCCAAAGACTGGTGTGCTTCCTTTTAACCTGGTCCTAGCCCATATCTGTTCAAAAAATCAAAGCATGCACAACCGATGCACATTTTCCTTTTAAATCTCCATTCCGTGCATCCTCCATACAAACCAGTATTATTAAAAATATATATTTCAGTTAAATTTGGGTGCTACATCTTCAAGGGTCTGAGAGAGCTCAGGCTTTACTTACTACTTTTGTTTTTACAAATCTTCTCGTAGAATATACAACTTAATGAACAAACTGAACAGATTATATACTGGCAATATGTTAGTTATGTAGTTCAGATGAAATGGGCGTATTAGTTTTAGAGTGCATACTGCGTGTCTCTATACAATGTATAGAGACACTCAGCTCACATACTGTCCTACACATTAGTGTGTGCTGTAAGTGTACTGAGATAAATGTGTGTGTATCTATATACCTGTTTAAGTTGACAGAAGTAGATAAGCAATATAGTGAAATCAGATACACACACATACATAGAGTGGCTACTGCACACCTTGTCATGCCAGTGTGGAAAAAGGACTTTTGTTTTCCCAGCCATTAAATTTTACATTTTATGAAAAAAAAAGGCTTCTTTAAATCTTTTTTTTTCAGGATGCATCATTGGAAGAAGACCAAAGCAGAGCAACTATAAGTTAAATATACACTTGAGCTTAGCTGCATTACATAACTCTGTAGGAGAAGCAGGTTGAAAAGGGTTTTGATTCATTTAAATCTTTATATTTTATTTCTCTTCCTTTCCAACTTTAATTCTTGTTATTATTTTCCTCCTAAAGTGCCTCATCTTCTGAAGAACGTTGGGTTTCGCAGGCAGGCGGCTAGTCACCTGCAACAACCGAGCGGTCCTGCAGAAGCTTCCAAGCTGCTGTCGGTGTCCGATGCCAGGGTTTGGTCAGTGGACATGGAGGAGATGTCATTGACAGATGAGGATGGAGGGAGACTTTCACTGCTGTTCACTGCTGCACCTGTGCTAAGAAAATGAACACCAATGTGATTAAACCTGGACCCCCCAAAGATTCCTTGCAACTTGATGACAAATGAAGCATTTCTTGTTGCACAGGGATTAGACGACACGCCAGTTTTAATGAGCAGGCACACAAAGCCCAACGCGTTTAGCTATTGACCTTAATGGCAGTAAAATTTGGACCATAAAGTTTTCCATTCTGGCCCTCAAGTTCTAGTCTTCATTAACCTTTTAAAATATAGAAATATTAAAGGGAAACTGCGCCTCATGAGGCTGTTCTGAATAAAATTCATATTGCACTTCTTAAGCGAATCCAGTGATTTATCCTCTTAGAGCTATGAAAAATTCAAGCAATGGGTTTATGGTCTGCTGAAATTGAGCCTGAACAATATTACCAAAGGGAGGAACATATGGTTCAATGCACAGAAAAAGAGAACAGAACTGTATTCTGCCCTTCATTCTCCTACTAAACTGCTGTGTTACCCTGAGGAAGGCACTTAACCACTGGAAAGTATTCATTCTCCTACTAAACTGCTGTGTTATCCTGAGGAAGGCACTTAACCACTTCAATTTCCCTCCTCTGGAAAGTGGGGTAACAGTGAACTTCCTAACCTTCCCAAATCAATTTGCATTTTTAGATTCCCAAATGAAAAGTTAAGTATTATGGAAAATGACTACTGAAATTATCTAATTAGGCGTATCTCTAGATACATGCACAGAGCTCTACAGATACATGCGTAACTCCAATCCTTAGATGGCAATGATACCTATGATAAACCCATATGTGGAATGTCTTTATGAAGTACTTTGACCACGGTCCTTGTATTCTGTCTCCAGTAGGAAGTAACATCCCATCTTAGCCCCTGTAACATCAAACAGTAACATCACTGGGTTTTTTTTTATTTACTTGCCAAGTAAATGTACACTATTTCTCTTCCAACTTTATGTTATACAAGGTTCAGGATGGTTAAAATCAGTTCTGCCTCCCAGGTTTTCTTCACAGTTAACTTTAACCTTTGATATCATATGACCTCGCAGGTCTGGGAACACCAAGATCCACACTGGCTTCTTGCCCCTGCAAGATCCTGAGGTGTCAGACATTTTTAGAGTATAGACAAACTAGCTCCTCCTGCTATTATACTAATGATACAGGAGGCAGGACACAAAACAATCCCATTATGTATTTAAAAATGTCAATGAACTCTTAAAAAATTAATTTAGCAGCAAATATGACATACACACAATAAAGGATTGTGTGGGGTGGAAGCAAGGTTTTAATGTTCTGAGGATAATCTTGAACTCACAGCTTTGCACTTGTGTGTAACATGTCAGTTTCAAATTTAAGCCTGTGTGTCATACATTTCATATATTCCCCCAGCCACCCTCCATACACATAGCCCTACATATAGATAACTAGCCACTCACATAATGCTCAAGATGGTTGAAGAATTAAAATTGAGTAGTTGATTCTGAGGACTTTGTGAAGTGATTGTGAGGAAGTGGGGAGTTTTGGGGGTGCGAGAGGGGTGTTGCATACAGGGGAGCACTCAGTGCCCAGAAGGTACTGGTTTAATGTGACGAAGGTGGAGAGTTTGTTGTTTCAGAGAACAGCCCAGAGTTGGAGTAGAGTTGGTCACCCTGGTGACCCCGACCCTGCTAAGAGGACAAGGCCGGTTCTGGTCAGATGACAGACAATGGGCTGCAGAGAGGGTCCCCAGCTGATCCCAGCGAGGGGAGAACATTGGACAGAGGAGAGGAGGCAGAGAAGAGAGGGGCAGGGCGACCCTCTTACCTGGGGAGAAGACAATGGACGGGGGAGGGGCTGTTGCTGGGAATATTGGAGGCTCTGCTGGGAGACTGGGGGCTGTGTTTTGGGGAACTGAGGGCAACGCAGGCAAGGCTCAGCTGGCTGCAGAAGAGACTGACGTGAGGGCTGAGGGCCCAGGCCTACTGGCCTGAGAGGTCCGTTGCTGTGTTCAAAGCTCAATAAACCCTTCTGTTTTGTGCTGGCTGATAGTTGCTCTGGTCTAGAGAACAGGGGGGCAACTATTCCTTCTGGGAGTGGAGGCCACTCCCTCTGGACCTCCAGGGACCCCTGAGGGGTCTCACGGCAGAGGCAGGCGTGCTGAAGGCTCTGAGAGGCACCGTTCCGGAGGCAGAGGGCGGACCCCCCAGGTGAGAGTGGGCACCCCGAGAAAGGGTCGCTGTACTGGAGAGGGGGGTTCCTTCCAGGAGCCGAGGGGCCAAGTATGAGCACGACCTGTGAGCCGTGACAGTGATACAATCACATTTTGAAACACAGCTTGCTTTGTCTTCCGAACTGAACTGAATTTAGCTACTGTTTTCCCCATACAATTTTATCATTACATTGCTCCGAGGCTACAGAACATTATATTTAAATTTTGTTCAGGTGGGTTTGAACGGAAGCAGAGCAAAATTATAAACAAAATCAGATCATTGGCTTTCTCAGTCTCAAATTAGCTAAAAAAATCTGCTGTTTGTCATGTGAGCCTTGTTAAGGTCTGATCCAAAGACCATTGAGGCCTTTTGGATCAGATCATTAGCGTCCATTTTCTTTGGCAGGTAAACAGTCTCATTAAGAGTTGAGCAATGTAACAACAGTGTCCAGTTCTGGGCGCCACATTTCAAGAAAGATGTGGAGAAATTGGAAAGGGTACAGAGAAGAGCGACAAGAATGATTAAAGGTCTAGAGAACATGACCTATGAAGCCAGGCTTCATGAACTGGGCTTGTTTAGTTTGGAAAAAAGAAGATTAAGGGGGGACATGATAGCGGTTTTCAAATATCTAAAAGGGTGTCACAAGGAGGAAGGAGAAAATTTGTTCCTCTTGGTTTCTGAGGACAGGACAAGGAGTAATGGGCTTAAAGTGCAGCAGGGGAGGTTTAGATTGGACATTAGGAAAAAATTCCTAACTGTCAGGGTGGTCAAATATTGGAATAAATTGCCAAGGGAGGTGGTGGAATCTCCCTCTCTGGAGATATTTAAGAACAGGTTAGATAGACATCTGTCAGGGATGGTGTAGGTAGAGCTTGGTCCTGCCTTGAGGGCGGGGGGCTGGACTCGATGACCTCTTGAGGTCCCTTCCAGTCCTATTATTCTATGATTCTATGATTCTATGAACAGAAACTGAATAGACGGAAACTTTTGTTTCAGTATGTACCTTTTTCTGCTAAATTGAGGAGCCCATTATTAAATTTTCCCCCTGGGGAAACTTAATCAAGTCATTCCTTAACCTTTACTTTGCCATGAGTGGAAAGGACTGGACTTGATCACCTATTGTGGTCCCTTCCAGTTCTAGTATTCTCTGATTCTAAGTCTTGGGACTATGTGAAAATTGGTCCTGCACTCAGGGCACGTCTACACAGCAGGGCTAAAGTAAAATAGGCTACGAACATTTAAGTCAAACAGCTTATTTCTGCTTTTGGCACTGGCGGTGCTTAGAGTCAACTGCCAAGGTTGACTCTAAGTGATGTGCTCTCTCCTTTCCCTAGGCTCTGATTGGCCTGGGGGCGAGGGAGTGGCAGGACCTTCGTGGGCCAGATCAATTCGCTTGGTGAGTTGGATCCAACCCGTGGAGGCTTTTTTGCTCGCCCCTGTCCTAAAATATGCCCAATAGACAATCAAAGGAGCTCAGGCTGGAGGGAGGGGTCAGGGGAAAAGGTCATTCCACTCCAGCATGATTTAGAGCCCAATTTTGTAACTGCTTATGACCCCAAGGAGTTTCAATTTGTTTTTTTATCAATATTTCCAGAAAGGATTAGCATAATTAAAAGATGGAAAAAGTGCTCCTCATTTTAATATGTTTGTCCGCTTAGCGCGCTAGTCTGGACGCTCCCCTGCCGGCATCAAAGCCCTTTGTCGGCAGGCCCCCTCCCAGCCAGGAAACAACGCAGGGGCAGGGGGCCCCGTGAGCGGGGGCCCGGCGGCCCC